GGCCTTGCCTCTCCATGAAGGGGTGGCAAAAATTTCAAATGCCCTGTGGCAAACACCGGCCTCATTGGCCCCCATCTCCAAGAGAGCGGAATGCAAGTATTTTGTACCAACCAAGGGGCATGAATACTTATACACCCACCCTGCTCCTAACTCCCTGGTGGTTGAGTCGGTCAACCACAGGGAACGGCAGGGCCAGCCAGCCCCTACCCTGAAAAATAAAGATTTGTGAAGGCTGGACTCTTTTGGAAGGAAAATGTATTTGTCCTCAAGCTTCCAGTTACAGGTGGCGAACCACCAGGCTCTCCTGGGCTGATGAGAGTTCAATCTGTGGGGCTCCCTGCCCAAGTTCGAGGACTCCCTCCAGGAGCGCGACAGGAAGGAGTTCAAAGTGCTGGTGGAGGAGGGTACAGCGGCTGCCAGGGCAACTCTGCAGGCAGCGTCGGATGCAGCAGGCACGGCCGCAAGGTCCGTGACCCCAGCGGTGTCCATGAGAAGGATGTTGTGGCTCCTGCTCTCTGGGCTGTCCAGCGAGGCACAGACCTCCCTGCAGGACCTCCCGTTTGACGGCAAAACTCTGTTTGCGGAACAAACGGATACAAAGCTGCATGGCCTGAAAGACTCCCACATGACTCTCCAGACTCTGGGTCTCTATGTTCCAGCTCCGGCTAAACCTAAGTTCAAGCCGCAGCAGACTCCCGCTCAGGCCACCCACCCAAAATATGAGACTGCTTATAAGAAGTCGCGGGACTATGAGGCGCCCACAGAGGCAGTCTCGCCCTGCTCCCCAGCCTGGGTCCTCCAAGGTCAAACAGGTGGGGAAAAGGCGGTTTTGATGGGATGCCTGGGGGTGCCCTGCCATTTCTCATCAGGAATCCACCCCCAATAAAGCTTTCCTTCTCCAATCGGTTGTGTGCTATCCTCCCCGGAGTGGTCGCGGCTGACATTGGACCGATGGGTCCTCAACACCATCTCCTGGGGCTACACCCTCCAGTTTACTTCCTCCCTGCCCAACCACCGCCCACCCCCGTCCCTCCTGGGGGACCCCTCGCACGAGGCCCTGCTCGAGCAGGAGGTGGGGTGGCTCCTGGGCCTACGAGCGGTGGAAGCAGTACCCAGGGAGTTCAAAGGCAAGGGGTACTACTCCCGCTATATCCTGAAGGCCAAAGGGGGGCTCAGGCCCATCTTGGACCTGCAAAGCCTAAACCAGTACATGGTGAAGCTCACGTTCTGTATGGTCTCCTTGGCTTCCATCATTCCCTCCCTGGATCCTGGGGACTGGTACGCCGCCCTTGATCTGCAGAACGCGTACTTCCACATTCATATATTCAAGGGGCACAGACGCTTCCTCCATTTCACTAGGGGGAAGGAACACTACCAATTTACGGTCCTCCCATTTGGCCTGTCCACCTTAGATGCCGGGGGGGTCCAAATCTTCCCCTATCTGGATGACTGGTTGGTCAAGGGCAACTCCTGGTCGCAGGTTTGGGATCACATGGCGCTCCTTCTGTCCAAGTGGGCCTGTTGGTAAACAACACCAAGTCCACGTTAGTCACGGTTCAACGCATAGAGTTCATCGGGGCAGTCCTGGACACCTCGTCGTCCAGAGCCTCCCTCCAACTGGACAGGTTCAAGACCCTGAAGGGACTCAACACGGTCACAAGGTTTCCGGTGACAACAGCCAGAGCATGCCTCCAGCTCTTGGGTCATATGTCGGCGTGCACATATGTGGTTGGTCACGCCAGACTCAGGATGAGGCCCCTCCAGCTCTGGTTGGCCTTGGAGTTCTCCCAGGCCAGGGACAGGATGGACAAATTCCTTACAGTACCCGAACCAGTGCTCACCTCCCTACGGTGGTGGTTCTCGGGAAACATGATCCAAGGGGTCCCGTTCAGGGGCAAGGCCCCGTCGCGGGAGCTGGTGTCTGACGCATCGGACCTGGGATGGGGGGCTCATGTGTGGAACGTTCAGACCCAAGGTCTGTGGTCGGCTCAGGATTTGACCCTCCACATAAACGTCAAGGAACTCAGGGCGGTACGGCTGATGTGCATGGCCGTCTGCTCGCACATGGAGGGCCGGGTGGTCAGGGTCCTCACTTACAACACGGCCTCGATGTTCTACATCAACAGGCAAGGCAGGGCCCGATCCTCTGCCCTCTGCCGTGAAGCCCTCAGGCTGTGGGACTTCTGTAGAGCCCACAACATTTTCCTACAGGCCTTCCATCTGCCGGGCACCTGGAACACGCTGGTGGATCGCTTGAGCAGGGCCTTGTTCTCTCAGCACGAGTGGTCTCTCCACTCAGAGATGGTGCACAGACTTTTTCAAGTGTGGGAAACTCCCTAGGTGGACCTGTTCACGACTCGGCAGAACCATCGCTGTCCCCAGTTTTGCTCCGGGGGGGGGAGGGGGCTGGGACAGGGTGCTATCTCTGATGGCTTCCTTCTGTCCTGTTCAGGCCAGTTTCTCTCGTTCCTGCTGATCAGCAAGGTCCTGGAAAAGATAAAGACAGACAGGGCCCGGGTCCTTCTGATTGCCCCGGCGTGGTCCAGACAGCATTGGTACAGGACCCTCATGGGCCTGGCGGTCGTCCTGCCGTGGCCGTTGCCGTCCCACCCAGACCTGCTCTCCCAGTACCAGGGCCACCTCCTCCACCCCGACCTAGCTGCACTCCACTTCACGGCATGGCTGCTCAATGTTTAGGTAGGGAGGAGAGGACGTGCTCAGAAGGGGTTCAGCGCGTCCTCCTAGAAAGCAGGCGGCCCTCCATGCGCCAAGCCTACTTGGCAAAGTGGTCTTGGTTTTCTAGATGGACGGACGAGCGGTGCGTTTCCCCGGTGGCCGCCCCGATCCACCTTATCCTGGACTACCTCCTTCACCTTAGAGCCCAGGGCCTGGCGCCCTCGTCAGTCAAGGTGCATCTGGCAGCCATATCGGCCTTCCATCCACCAGTACAGGGCCACACAGTATTCTCCCATGCTATGGCTGGCCAATTCCTTAAGGGGTTGGATCATCTCTTCTGAATGTTAGGCCCCCAGTCCCACAGTGGGACCTAAACGTGGTGTTGGCCCATCTCACGGGGCCCCCATTTGAGTCACTAGCCACGTGCTCCTGGTCACACCTCTCGTGGAAGGTGGCCTTCCTGGTTGTGGTCACGTCGGCTAGGCGGGTCTCGGAGCTCAGGGCCATGACCTCCAAGCCCCCGTACACGGTGTTTCATAAGGATAAGGTCCAGCTCCACCCACACCCCTCTTTCCTCCCAAAGGTAGTCTCCACCTATCACATGCATCAGGACACTTTTCTGCCGATCCTCTGCCCCAAGTCCCATGCGTCCAGTGGGGAGCGCCACCTCCACACGCTGGATGTGGGACAGGCTCTGGCTTTCTATCTGGAGCGGACTATGCCATTTAGAAAGTCCTTGCAACTCTTTCGTTGCCTCAGCCGAGCGCATGAAAGGTCGGCCGATCTCCACTCAGCAGCTATCCACCTGGATCACCTCGTGCATCCATACCTGTTATGACCTGGCGGGAATCCCTCTGCCACAAATTGTGAAGGCACGCTTGACTCGGGCGCAGGCCTCGGCAGCTGCCTTTTTGGCCCACATCCCCATTCAGGACATTTGTAGGGCTGCCACGTGGTCTTCAGTTCACACGTTCACCTTGCACTATGCGATTGTCTCCCAAACCAGGGATGACGCCAGGTTCGGCAGAGCTCTGCTCCGTCCCGAGAATTTGTGAACTTCTACCCACCTCCAACAGATATAGCTTGGAATCACCTACTGTGGAATATACATGAGCAATCACTCGAAGAAGAAAAGACAGTTACCTTTTCCGTACCTGGTGTTCTTTGAGATGTGTTGCTCATGTCTATTCCACATCCCGCCCTCCTTCCCCTCTGTCGGAATTGTCTGGCAAGAAGGAACTGAGGGTGGGGGGAGTGTGCAGCACCCCTTATACCGCTCCATGGAGGTGCCACTCCAGGGGTCGCTGGGGTACTCCCCTACGGGTACTGCTAGGGGAAAAACTTCCAGCACCGGTGCATGTGGCAAGCACACACACATATTGTGGAATAGACATGAGCAACACATCTCGAAGAACACCAGTTACGGAAAAGGTAACAGTCTTTTCTAGCTCAGGTGGTAGTCCCCAGGACTACTATTGAATTTGGTATTCTCCTCTATTATCTGCTTCCTTGACCAATAATTCTTGATATTAACATGACACAAGTTTCAGTTTTGTTAATCTACTAAACTAATATTGAATATTTCAGGACACGTGACTGGGGTTATTAAACTTTGACTATATTCCTTTCTGAGGGCTCAATCCTCCCATTGAAGGCAGTGCAAAACTCCCACATGCTTCAGAGTGGAGTACGTTTGGGCCTTTGGTATACGCCCAGTACTGGTCAGAGTGAACAGATTTATAAATTGCAAAACACAAACTAAATATTATGAAATAGCAGAGTAGTGATTCTAATTACTGTTGCAGTCTGAGTGCATTAATGTCACTTTCTGTTAAGTGCTCTGGTACTTTAAATTTATTGCTGGTCTTTTGCTGTTCTGTTTTAGCTGCCTTACTGCAAGCTTATTCTACAGTTGCACTGAGCAAGTGGTTCTCAAACTATGGTCCGTGGATTGGTGGTCTACGGAACACTTGCTGATGGTCCACAAACAGCAAGCTGGTCTCATGGTACTGGCTTCTCCTCCCTCTTTTCAACTGCCAAATCAAATTTAAAAAGCAGTTAAAAATGCTGACGGGGAAAATAATATTAGGGAAGCAATTTCTGTAGTTGCCACATGGTTATTATGTGATCATGAGCAGGGGGGGAGAGGTGGTCCACATAATCCTACTGGGAGGAGAGGTAGTCCATGAGGCAATATGTCTGTTAAGTTGTGGTCCACTCTGTGGAAAATGTTTGAGAACCTTGCACTGAGCATTTGAGTTGCTTATGTTGAGACTGTGTTGCTGCTCCTTAATCATGCATGTTGCACCTCCATTTCTGTGCAGATTGCAGCCCCCCTCCTGAAGAGTCCAGCCCAGGTATGTGCGTTTTCCATTCATGGCTTCTGCAAATTGCAATTTTTGTTTGTATTTAACAGTGGAACAAGTGTTTTGCTAATGTGATATCTAATACTGGATTGGAAGGATGTGCAAGGAAAAATGTTATTTTTTCCCAGTCAGTCCCGTTTTACCAAATAAAAACCTGGTAGGAGGAAGACATGGAAGAAGAAATAGCTACAAGTATTGCTTAACTTCTATAAACACATACTGTCTCATCGTGAAATCTGATAGGTTATTATTTCCTAAAGAGAAGTGGAACAGGCTCACTGTAGAGTCTGGTAGCTTTATATGGTGATAAACTGGGGGGAGGGATAGCTCAGTGGGGGGGGAGGGATAGCTCAGTGGTTTGAGCATTGGCCTGCTAAACCCAGGGTTGTGAGTTCAATCCTTGAGGGGGCCACTTGGGAATCTGGGGCAAAATCAGTACTTGGTCCTGCTAGTGAAGGCAGGGGGCTGGACTCGATGACCTTTCAAGGTCCCTTCCAGTTCTAGGAGATGGGATATCTCCATTATTATTATTATTATTATTATTATTATTATTATTATAGATGAGAAATGTTTAGTGACATTACCTTTAATTTCTCTAGTTGACAAGTTCTAGTAAATTGATTTGAGAAGTGCTAACGTAGGACCTGTTCCAAAGGCCATGGAAATCAATTGTAATCTGATTGTTGATTTCAATGGACCTTAGATAATGCCGTTTATTGGGTGCTAACTTTAGTATTCTCAATGGGCATTAGGAAATGGAGCAATCTGATTGGATGACAGAGGGTAAGTAATTGCTTTGTGGGTGTGCAACAGCCACCGGAGGCCATCGGAAACCTAGCTTTCGGAACACAAATTTGAAATAGTTTGATTTCATTGTCTACCTCTCCTCCTCACAACACCACAGAGTTTATTCACAGTCTCTAAATTATTCTGCTTAAATATGGCCCCTGTCTCATATTAAACTGCTGTGATTTCTGTCTCCTATTGGAGATCAGTTTGAGAGTGGGGCAGAGATTTAATTTCTGAACTGACACAGCAGTCACATCCTCTGGGCCAAATGAAATCTTCAAGAAATTAAGACCATGTCCTTTAAACTGACCCCCAAGCTGATCTAACTTTCATCTCTTTGCACCATAGCTAGAGTATGTAAAAATACTCCTCTGTTATACAGTGTGTATGTGTATCCTTATTCCCTGTTGTTGTCAAGATACAGTGATTTTAATCTTCAAAGTGCAATACAAACAGTAGTAGTAGTGGTAGTATTACTATCTTGTAACACCCCCGTGAGGTAGGTAGATGAGAAGAATCCACTTTTTACAGAGGAATAAATTGAAGTAAATCAGTTCGGGCCATCATGTTGAAAACGGGGTACCTAAACATATGTAACTAAGCCCTTGTCTACACTACAGAGTTAGGCCAATGCAAGGCATCTTACATCGACCTAACTGTGCAAGCATCTACATTAAAATTTCGCTCCAACTAATGTAACTCACCCGTTGCACTGACTTAATAACTCCACCTCCACAAGAGGCATAGAGTCAACATCGATGTAGTTCGGGCGACACAGTGTCAGTGTAGATACTGCACAGCTTACATCAAATGTTGCTGGATTTCAGAAGCTATCCCACAGTGTCCCACACTAACAGTTCAATTGGTGCAAGCGCTCCTGGTGAGGACACGCACCGCCAACACAAGGAGCAAAGTGTAGACGTGCACAAACGATGTAATTATTGCAGTGGCTGGATGCCAACATAAATTAGATCAACTTAATTTTGTAGTGTAGACATATCCAATTCAGAAAAGCACTTAAGCATGTACCTAACTCTCATTGAAGTCAGTGGGACTTGAAGGCATGCTTAAATATATTATTGAATACGGATGGACTTGAGCCCTGCTTTGCTGAATCAGGGGCTAAACACTTAGAGTATGTCCAGACTACCAGCTGGATCGGCGGGTAGCGATCGATCTATCGGGGATTGATATATCGCGTCTCATCTAGACGCGATATATCGCTGCGCTCCCGTCGACTCCGGAACTCCACCAGGGCGCACGGCGGTAGCGGAGTCGACGGGGGAGCTGCTGCCATCGATCCTGAGCCGTGAGGACGGGAGGTAAGTTGAAATAAGATACATCGACTTCAGCTACGCTATTCCTGTAGCTGAAGTTGTGTATCTTACATCGACCCCTCCCCCCCCCGCCGCCCTAGTGTAGACCAGCCCTTAGGTCAGCACCTGAATGAATAATCTGCTTTTCAGAGCTTCTGAGTACCTGCAGCTCTCACCAGAGTTAAATTACAGCTTCAGGTGCCCAGTACTTTGATATATGACCCTACCTTTATTGCTGTATTCTTTTTACTGCTGTGGAAAAGGAAGATATAAACTTTAAAAACAAAACACACTCTCGCAACTTTTCCCCAGTACATCTCTGTGGGTGCAGATTAACTTAAATAGACTTTCCAGGGACAAAAGCCATAGCGCTTGCATGCAGTAGTCCTGAGAGGAGCTACTATATGTCTTAATAGGTCATTTCAGTATCTAATTTCTGTGCTCCATTTTCCATCATCCCAGCCTCTCAGCTATAGGAGCTCTTTCTCTTCCTCCCTTATGCAGTGTTTTTCTGCATTCTTTTTATCTCATTATTTCCATAGGTTCTTCCCTATGGAAAGCAAAATGTCCCTGGAGGTCTCTCCCATTCAGCCCTTCCTCCTGTCTTCCTAATAGCAATAAGAAAAATAAAGAAGACATATGGAGGCAAATCCTGACATCCTTTACCAAGCAAGACTGCCATTGACTTCCATGGGTACTGTCTCTTAGTAAGGACTCTGCCATTTGGCCTTCGGTCTGAAGCAACTTTTTAACATAAAATTAGAAACTTTGATAAAAGGGGGGTATTTATAAACAAAATAAACAAATGGCAACTTTGAACTTTTTTGACCAGATCTTCAGCTGCTGTAAATCAGCGTAATTGTCCCTCTCACTTCCCTCCACACCTTCATTTACTTTGAAAGTAATATTGACTTCAGTGGAGCTATGATGATTTACCCTAGCTATGGGTTTGCCCGTCACCAGATCGGGCACCTCGCGAGCGCCCCGTTGTGGCCTGGGATCATGCTCACGGGCCGTCTTAGACTCTGCACATCCTTTTTGTCCATTCACAAACCCCTTCTTGGGGTCTGGGTTTATTCAGATAAAATAAACTAAAAAATAAAACTCAGAGCCCCAAAACAAAATCCATCCATGTTACCCTCTTGTCAGGTCATTCCCAGGCCTCTCCTGCTTGTAGTCTCAGTCTCACATCCCAGGACTCCCTGCTGGAGTCTGCTCACTCCTCCTCCTCTGGGATCTCCCTGAGCATCTGCACTTCACTGCAGCCTCAAGCTGCTCTTTCTAGGGAAATCACCTTATCCATACCCAGGTGTGGCCCCCTAATAATCAGAATTGGTTGGCCCCAACCCTCCAGCCCTTCAGGGGCAAGCCATCCTGTTAATTGTCCCAGAGAGTATGTATTGCCATTAAAGTGTTCTGGTGATTTCATAAAATGTAAGAGCAGAGCTCAAGTGGATTTGTTGTCACAACAGAATTAAAGTACCTGACAGTGTTTCAAAAACTTTTATTTGTTTTATAGAATATATAGTTCCAACAATAAAATCCTGTTAAGAATATTGTTAAAGAAAACACAAACAAAAACCCGATTGAGGAAAGTGTATATATGAGAACTATAGACAATTTATTTTAAAACTGCCAGTGGATGTCCAATCCTGATGTGAATCTGTCAGTTACTATTCTTTTCCTCTTTGTTTATAGTCAGTTGCTGCTGCTCCTGTAGGATTGCTTTAATTTACATGCGCGACATCTCTCCTCTCAGATTAGAGGGAAAAGCAATGTCACACTGTTAAATGACGAGATTTGAATTTCATATTGATGTTCCAAATCATAAATAAAATATACCAATAGAGGAAAGGTTAGCACACTCCCACAGAGCCACGAGAGCTTACGTTACATAACAGCTGAACCTTGGAACATAATCCAAGAATTGCATTATCTTTCTGAATTCTGTTTTTATAATGCTACTGATTTAGTTTGACTAAAAAAAACATGGATACCTGTTTTAATGGATTTGTTGACAAAGACATATAATAATTTTGAATTTTAACACCCCCTGGATTATTTAGAAAGTTAAATATTGCCATGTGTTGGAATGGCTACATTCTAGAAGATATTTTCCATTCTTTTTATCCTTTTATACAAAGCTCTTTAAAGCAAATAATGAGAAATAATTTCTTTAAAATAATCTGTATTTTGCTTTATGAGGGTTCATAGTTCCAGATTAGGGCATTTGATTATTTTAGAAAAACTGTATAATAGAGAATAAACGACAAGCTGTAATTCTTTGTTAGCTCTTCTGAGCTACTAAAGTAAGGTACTGTAATTATATGCAGTGGAACAGAGCCAAATAACTTTCCTTCATTTAGTTTATTAGATTATCTATCTGTCTACTGCATAGGACAGAGGTTTTAAAAGCACAGTAATGCTGGACTTGTCATTTATGATGTTTCTGTTAGCAAGTTTCCATAACTTCCCTCTTTGGATGGTTATCAGGGAAAATTGTATTGTTGTTGGCTCTTAACCATAGACTTCAATTGAAGTCCTGAACAGCTTCCTGTCAGAGGCCTGAAGTGATCCTGTTTTTGCATGATTATGATCTGTACATCACCTTGTATGGTGAGGCCAGCTAGTCTGGTGGTGGTATGACTTCCATTTTTGGACTGTGCTGTATGTTGAAAATAAAACTGATTTAAATAGCAGTTTTCCCTTTTTAAATTCCTATTTTAAAAAAGACCAAAAGCAGAACACCTTTCTACCCTGTCTTGTACTATGGAAAAAGTTTCGACACAGTGTCCGATTAACTTTTTTCACAGAATGATGAAAGTGGGCTTAAAAAAACTGGAGGATGATTAAGATGGGGTGGGGGGGTGGGAAGGAAGTAGAATAATGAAAAACTGAACTACTGGGGCTTTTTATGATACATGAGTATTAGAGAGGTGGTGCAATGGTTAGGGTACTAGCATGGGAATCTGGAAACTTAGGTTCAGTTCCCTGCTCTGTCACTGGCTTCATGGGTGACCTTAGGGAAATCACTTAGTCTTGCTGTAAAATGGGGATAATAGGATTTCCCTACATCACAGGGGTGTTATGAGGATAAATACATTGACGATTGTGAGGTGCTCAGATGCTGTAGTGCTGGGGGTCATGTAAGTACCACACAAGGATAAAATAGATTTAGGAGAAGCCTTTTTGACACCAAGGGGCAGAAGAAATTTAGTAGCAATTAGCTATACTGCGTATCTGTTACAGAATACAATTCGGCTTTCTTTCCTCCTATCTTCCTCCCCTTGAATAGTGCTTTATAAATCAGTTAGTCCGCTGCCTGCTCTCCGTAGGCAAATATGGCAGCTATTGTATACTCAAGAATATCCACCACCCCAGCCTTACCCAGGAGAGCCTTCTTTTTGGTTCTGTTGTAATAACAATTCTTTTAAGCACATTACAGTATGGTGCTGAATAGCCCTGGAAATAAATGGGCCAGCCAGGAAAAATAAGCTGCTGTTAGACTATGCTAAATAGGGTTCAACTTTAAATTGAGCCAGAAAGTTTCTTAGGACAATGACTTTAACACATTTTTCTTTTTCAAAATAAAAGTATTTAAAATGTCTTTTTTTAATTTTTTTTAACCAGGTGAATGGAGTGAGGCTCTTTACCCCTTGCTGACAACGCTCACAGACTGTGTAGCCATGATGAGTGACAAAGCAAAGAAAGCTATGGTCTTTTTGTTAATGCAAGATAGCGCTCCTACAATAGCTCTGTGCCTGAGCCTTCAATATCGCAGGGATGTTGTCTTCTGCCAAACTGTAAGCAAGAAAGTTGCCTGATATGATTACAGTTAGACTTGTGGTGGGTTTTTTAAGAGTCTGAGAGATTAATGTGGTTAGAACTGATTATACTCACCGTCTTAATAGCAGTGTAGAAATCAAATGCAGCCTCCCCTCTTGTGCACCGTCCTGTTCGGATATAGCCATAGGAAAAATAGTACTGCATATAGGTATCTACCAATAAAATGAATTGCCTGCCATCTCTGTCCTGTATATTCATTTAAAAATTATGCTAATTTAGTAGAGTTGTGGATTAATCACAGTTAATTCATGCGATTAATTAAAAAAATAATCGTGATTAAAAAAAAATTTCGTGATTAATTGCAGTTTTAAACGCACTGTTAAACAATAGAATACCAATTTAAATTTATTAAATATTTTGATGTTTTTCTACATTTTCATATATATTGTATTCTGTATTGTCATTGAAATCAAAGTGTGTATTATTTTTATTACAAATATTTGCACTGTAAAATGATAAACAAAAGAAATAGTATTTTTCAATTCACCTCATACAAGTACTGTAGTGCAATTTCTTTGTCGTGAAAATGCAATTTACAAATGTAGATTTTTTTCTTACATAACTGCACTCAAAAACAAAACAATGTAAAACTTCAGTGCCTACAAGTCCACTCAGTCCTACTTCTTTGTCAGCCAATTGCTAAGACAAACAAGTTTGTTTACATTTAAAGGCGATAATGCTGCCCTCTTCTTATTTACAATGTCACCAGAAAGTGAGAACAGGCATTTGCATGGGACTTTTGTAGCTGGCATTGCAAGGTATTTACATGCCCGATATGCTAAATATTCGTATGCCCCTTCGTGCTTTGGCCACCATTCCAGAGGACATGCTTCCATGCTGATGACGCTCATTAAAAAAAAAAAAAGCGTTAATTACATTTATGACTGAATTTCTTGGGGGGAGAATTGTATGTCCCCTGCTCTGTTTTACCCGCATTCTGCCATATATTTCATGTTATAGTAGTCTTGGATGATGACCCAGCACATGTTTTTCATTTTAAGAACACTTCCACTGCAGATTTGACAAAACACAAAGAAGGTACCAATGTGAGATTTCTAAAGATAGCTACAGCATTTGACACAGGGTTTAAGACTCTGAAGTGCCTTTCAAAATCTGAGAGGGACGAGATATGGAGCATGCTTTCAGAAGTCTTAAAAGAGCAACACTCCGATGTGGAAACTACAGAACCCGAACCACCAAAAAAGAACATCAACCTTCTGCTGGTGGCGTCTGACTCAGATAATGAAAATGAATATGCGTCGGTCCACACTGCTTTGGATGGTTATCGAGCATAACCTGTGATCAGCATGGACACGTGTCCCCTGGAATGGTGGTTGAAGCATGAAGGGACATATGAATCTTTAGCGCATCTGGCACGTAAATATCTTGTGACGCTGGCTACAACAGTGCCATGAGAACACCTGTTCTCACTTTCCAGTAACAATTATAACAAGAAGCGGGCAACATTATCTCCTCCAAATGTAAATAAACTTGTTTGTCTAAGCAATTGGCTGAACAAGATGTAGGACTGAGTGGACTTGCAGACTCTAAAAATTTTACATTGTTTTATTTTTGAATGCAGTTATTTTTTGTACTTAATTCTACATTTGTAAGTTCAACTTTAATGATAAAGTGATTGCACTACAGTACTTGTATTAGGTGAATTGAAAAATACTATTTCTTTTGTTTCTTTACAGTGCAAATAGTTTTAATAAAAAATAAATATAAAGTGAGCACTGTATACTTTGTCTTCTGTTTTGTAATTGAAATCAATATATTTGAAAATGTAGAAAACATCCAAAAATATTTAAATAAATGGTATTCTATTATTATTTAACAGTGCGATTAATCCCGATTAATTTTTTTAATTGCTTGACAGCCCTATAATTAAGGCAATAACACTGCTGTGTAAAAAGCAAACAAACAGAAGCGGCGGAGGGAGAAAAAAATATGATCAGCAAAACATTTCTCCCTGACCTGCAATAGATTATTGCCTGCATCAGGTGCAAAACTGACAAATATTATTTTTAATATGTTACTTAAAGCAGGGCTCCAAAATGTATCAGATATCAGTGGAAGGATTTGAGGAGGAGGGAACTAACAACGTCTAAGGCTATGTCTATGCCATAGTCGAAGGTGTAATTTGAAGTTTGCGTAGGCATACATGCTCTACCGAGCTAGCACAGCTAAAAATAGCAGTGAAGTCATGGCTGCATGGGCTGTTACAAGCCCTTCTGGGTCCCCTGGCCATGCACTCGTGTTGTATGCACTGCAGCCTGTGCTGCCACGTCTTCGCTGCTATGTTTAGTGAGATAACTAGATTAAGCTATAGTGGGTATGTGTAGCTGAGCTGCAGTCACACCTCTGACTGCAGTGTAGACATGGCTTTAGGGTAATTCCCTGGAGAGACGTCCAGCTCCCAACCCCAGCTGCTTGGAAAGGTGAGGGTGCTTGGATTTCTATTCAAGTGCTGACCCTGCTTGGGGGCTCAGACTTTCATGTCTGCCTCTGACTAGAAGATGTCTGATAAATTTGAATGGCTTCCCACATGTCTGTCTGCTGAAAGACAGAAGGAGCTTTCGCACTCTTCTCACACCTGAGAGAGCCCGTCTATGCTACTGCTTACGTTGATCTAACTTGTATCACTCAGGGGTTGAAAAAGTCACCCCCCGATCAACGCAAATTAGATTGACCTAAATGCTGTCTACACCGGTGCTATGTTGGCGGGAGAGCATCTCCCACTGACCTCGCTTCTGTGTCTCGCTAAGGTGGAGTAATTATACCGATGGGAGAGCGCTCTCCCATTGACGTAGTGTGTCTTCACCAGATGTGGTACAGCGGTGCAGCTGTGCCAATGTAGCACTGTCGGGTAGACTTGCCCATAGTCTCCTGACTACTCTGTGCCTTCTGCCCTCCTCCTTAGGCTTCCATTTTCCAGGATCTCCTCCCTCTGTGAATAGCTCCAGAGCCCATCTCTGCTGTTTCTCCTAGCTTTCCCAAACAACAGCAGAATGACACTGACAAGATTATTGTTAGTTTTACTACTGCCCTTGGGGTTTTGAATAGTAGAAATGAAAACTTGATGGGAGTCAGTTTTCGCTCAGCTGCAGCTTGGCATAGCTCTTAGCAGGAGCAGCAGCACAGGTACTGGAGCAATCTCCCTGCTGACTCAGGTAGATATTTCCTCTAGGGTTCAGTTTCGGAAGTCTGAGTATTGGTTCACATTTGCTACAATTGGGTGCCATAATATTTTAAATTAAAGCTTAAATTTTGAGTAATTGATACTTACTTTCCTCCTATTCACCAGGGAAAGCTGACAACTTGCCATTGGTGAGTAGGCAAGTAGATTATTCTATGCCCTGTCATAGTCACACAGTCTTCACTTAAACACATCAGTGCTCCTTGACATCAGCTAAATTGGAGGTTCATTCTGCTAACTCACTACACGCCATAGAACAAAACATACTCAAATTCTCCTTACAGATATTCCTTATGATTTTAAATCTTTTTGCTCTAGTTATACTTTGTCTAAGAACCTCAAATCATCAAGTTTAATTTTACAGTAACCGTTACCTAGTTTAAATAGTTCAAACAGCCCTTAGCCATCTTCTTTCAGGTGAAATGATCCCCAAAGGAATTTCCACATGGGGATCAATTCAGAGACTATTTTATACAAAAAGCAATTAATAATAGGGGCAATTTCTGTAAACCACTCGCTGCTCTTAACAAGATCTGCATTTTGAATACAAAAATTGTCCCCCTCATAAATCAAACATATTTCCTTCAGCTTAATTCTGCAGTGAAATCATAATCCTGTGTTAGTGGCATCGGTCAGTTGCATTGGAAATTACTGTGTGGTTACAAACACGGAATTAAGATCCACCACAGTATTGGGACCTGATCCTGAGAAGTGCTAAGCACCAGATGTTTCCACTGAAGTCAGCAGGTGTTCTGTGGTTCACAGCACTACAGGGAAATGTTTGCCTAAAAAAACAGGCATTGTAGCCTTTAAACTTTTTTTAAAATGTCAGTGGAATAATTTCTGTTATTAATATTAAATCTGAGTTTCAGAGTTAAAACTAATTGTGTCTTTTACACCTGTATTTGAAATTGTTTTCCAAGGAAATCTTGGAGATTAATTAATAAAACTTAGATTGTAATACAACTGGTCATGTGAACAAAACTAATAGACCTGAAGGCAACAGGAATCCCTGTAAATCAAATAAAATATTTCCCATTTTTTATTAATATTTCTCTTTAACTGTGAGGAAGGAGTGTCACTTCTAAAGAAAAAGAATATCGGTTTGACAGCTGTTACAGCATCTCTTAGATACTACAATGCTTTCATTTTGGATTAGAGACCCACGTTTTCTAGTTATTTTACTTTTGTATTTCTTCTCTTCTGTAGCTGACAGCTCTTATTTGCGGTTTCATTATCAAACTGAGGAACTGCCTGAATGATGATGGATTCCTAAGGCAGCTCTACACCATTGGTCTGCTGGCGCAGTTTGAAAGCCTTTTGAGCACATATGGTAAAGTCACTCTACATGGGACATTATTTATGAATTGACAAGATCAGCTTAATATAGGCCACAGTTGCAAAATGAGAGTGCAGGATTTGGAATAATTTGCAGTTCAGCAACAAAAAAGAATTTTGAACTGAACTATAAAACAAAATTATAGTTTAAATATGTATTCAGCTCTTGAAATAGAAGCTTTTGTATTTCTTTCATTTAAATTATTTATATTTCATAAAATAAGACTGTGGTTACTTGGTCATACTTGTTCTTTTCTGAAGAGAAATGGAATTAAACTCCAACCAAGTTAAGAGGAACTACTTGCAAAAAATACGATTTGCACTTTCTTGAACCTCCTTAAATACATAATAGAAAGAGAGACTGAAGAGGTATTAGGAGTATGACACTATGAATAAATCCAGATCTACTCATATTACTGAGCAGTATGGAATTAATGCTTTTTGAGCTGATGACAAATTGACAGAATATCATGCTTATGGATATGACTAGCCTCTGAAGCATTTATTAACCTTATTTATCAGTGGAAAAAGAACATAAAGTATACTTTAAGGTTGTGGCCATGGATGTGTTTTCCATCTTTACCAAGATTCATAAAGCCAGTTAAGACTCCAGTCCCGCAATCAAATCAACGTTTACTTATCTTTGTGTTTGTGGGAGGCTCATTAATGTCAAAGGGTTTTAGCATGGAGGCAAGGGGCTACCCATGTAGATCCAGTTGAAGGATAAGAGTCTCCTACTTCCTTCATAATGGTGGTGAACCCCAATCATTTCAAGTATGTATTTGAGACCGGATAAGAGAAAATTGATTATTCATGGAAAGTAATTACTTCAATCCACTTTTCCGCTTCTTGATTTAGGTGAAGAGCTGGCAATGCTGGAGGACATGAATTTGGGAATAATGGATTTGAGAAATGTAACCTTTAAAGTAACTCAGGCCACATCAAATGCATCTGCTGACATGCTGCCAGTCATTACAGGAAATCGGTAATAATATTAATAAAAAAAAACAACCCTAAACAGAGGAGAAGGGGGGCAGTGGGACTAGAAGAAGGGAAGATAAAAATATACTTGAACCTCAAGTGCAAAACAGCCAATATCTGGATATATTTTACAATCCCAACATTTCAAATAGAATGATTTTTGAAGCTGATCTTGATTAATTTTTATTTTACAAACAGCTAAACTGAAAAGTGCATAACAAGATGACGCCAGAAAGACGACAAACTTGTTATCATGTGTAAATATTAAGTTGTCCTGGCTTTTCATAATCACAAGGGTTTCAAGCATTTTTGAAGTCTCATCCTAAAAAAAATAAAAAATAAAAAGTCTATTTGAATTAACAAAAGGCTGTTTTCCAATATACACTAGGATTTGTTACAGTTTTATTCTGGTGAGAATAGCAAAGCTTTCACACTGCCAGAACAACCCATTGAATCGGACACTTCAACCTGCCAGCTAGTCAGTTAGGCCACAGTCCTGCTCCTGGCACAATACCAGCAGATCCCTGCACCCATGCGGAGTCCCATTGAAATCAGCAGGACTTTACACGAATGCAGGGATCTGCCCATAGGGAGCTGGGATCAGGATTGGGGCTTTAGCTAGGGAAGGGCAGGACCCTCGCTGAACTAAATGAGTTTCTTTACAATTTAGTTGAGATTTTAACTGATGTACTTTTAGTCCAATAAGAGAAGGAAAATACAGGATTTTAAACCAATACAAGGGCAAAACAAGATATTGGGGACATTAAATGTAGACATGAGCATGTCTTTTCACCTTCAGTTAGACTACAGAAAATTAAGCACCATTTCTAAAACCAAATTGTAATTTTTGTGGTGTTAGCTTTATGTTGAGGGGAAATTGCTGTTTGTGGTGTTCTGCTTCTGTCCACTAAAAACTGCAAATTTGGCCTAAACAATACTCTTTTCCCCTCCATCCAATGTAAGACAGACTGACTTTTTTAATGTAATATTTTCATAGGCTCCTTAGCACAGTGGTTGAAAGCTTTTTAAAGTATCATTGTGGTCAGAAAAATAACTGTAAAAATTCTGTATTTGTTCTCCCATTGACCTCTGTATCAAATTGCCCATTTTACAAGTACCCCACCCTCCAACCCATAAATGCCAGTCCTGCAAATTCAATCTGGTGCTTGTAAGTCAAGTGGGTTCTTCTTGCTTCTGTCATCATCAGTAATAAACATTTTGAAATCAAAGTTACCAGACTGTTGTTGATGTGTGAGGCACACTAAAATCCAGCTTGTTCTCCCAGAGCTGTGTGCACTCTGCAGTACTAAATCAAATGAAAACTGATTTTTGACAGCAAGGTAAACAGATAAAACACAAAAGGTAAACACATCCGGACGTAAGCTGAGTGCTGCAGTTTTTAATTGCTTTCTTTTCTGACCAGTACGAAGCTTAAAAGCATTAGCATGTCTTTGATACCCTATTAATAATTTGCTGTATGTTCAGCTATTATTCTTTTCAAAAAGAAATGTCACATTTTTAAAAATACAGATCAGTAAGCAAATGTCTTAGTTGTAATATTTTCCGTTTGTTTGTTTGAAGTGATGGATTTAATGTGAGGATTCCTTTGCCAAGCGCCTTGTTTGATTCGTTGCCCCGGGAGATTCAGAGCGGCATGCTACTGAGAGTTCAGCCTGTTCTTTTCAACGTGGGAATCAATGAGCAGCAAACCCTAGCAGAGAGGTACATATCCAATCACAAAAATTCAAGCTTAAACGATGTGAGATAACCTTTTATCCTGCTGGAAATACATTTCTGCGATGATGGAATACCTTGCTTTATTATTATAAAAGAAAATAAATGCTGGATAAATAAAGGCACATATCTTTGGATCAGTGACTACAGCCTCCTCCTTAGTCCTGCTCATTGCTGTTTTGTACCCCTTTTACCTGTCTCTGGCAAGACAACAGGGCAAAAGTTTTCAGCAAAAGTTTCAGATGGTATTTTCCCAAACCAAATTAACTTGAAATTTCCAAATAAATGGGCTTTTAATATTGAAAGATAGAGAAACCAAGATTTTAAGTATAATTGCCATAGCCTGAGTGTGTGTGTATGCACCTACATATAATTTTATTCCTGGAATAAATCTCTTTAGCTTTTTATACTGCACTCCTCACTATCTGAGTAGAGGACTGAACTTTCAGGAATGTTACAGGTTGAATCTTTAAGTCACCCTCTCACGCTTAAATGTCAGGGAAAAAAAAGGGGAATAAAGGTATCTCTGGGCTAATGTTGTGCCCTTTTCTCATCTTTAAAGGTTTGGAGACACCTCGTTACAAGAAATAATTAATATGGAGAGTTTAGTTCGGTTGAATTCCTATTTTGAGCAGTTCAAGGAAGTTTTGCCTGATGATTGTAAGTACTCAGTAACTTATAGCAGATAAATCTAGTATTTTTCATTTAAATAGCTGACTAGTTTGTATCAAATTAATTGTTTAAATGTTGAAACTACTCCAGTATCAATGGCACCAGAGCAGCGATGAAACTGTGTTGCAATTTCAGAGTTAAATAGCATTATATAAAATTATTTGCGGCTCACTCTGATTGAACTTTTATCCTTCTATGACTGGTATATTTACTTATAAAATGTATGACCGCTGGGGGAAAATTAGACAAGTGAATATTTTCACAGTTGGTACCATGGCAGAAACTCTGCCTGCTACTATGGTAGTATTCTCCACATGCATGGTGGTCTGTTGTGAGATCAAGACACCACACGCTGTACACACACCATTCCTCCTGTCTTTTCTTTTAAGCTCCTGTGAAATGGTAGCATTTGTAGCCAGTGAGGTTGCTTCAAAGAGTGGAGAACCATTTGCTAGAGCAGGTATTGAGGCTGCAAGTCACAATTCCACCCCGTATGAGGGCAAACTTCTTGTACGTTTTTCTTATTCTTTTATCTGGAGGCAGGAGTATAAGTATATATACATGGAACCATAAAATAAGATAGAAGTCAGTTGGCACAACTTTGAAATCACAACCTTTCCTCATATACAAAAACCATTGGGCTCCAAACCATGTTTATGGGATTTGCATCAGACACATACACACAAAACAAATACATAAGCATTCGAAAGGCCAGTAACAATGCTAGGGAGATCCCTCCTTCCCCAAACTAAGGCATGTTGTCCCCTTCCTCCCTCGCACAGAGGAACATGGGACACTGCCCATCTTTTTAATCACAGTTGGGCCAGATTGCATTCTCAGTTATACTGGATTTATCCTGGTGCAGCTGAGAACAGAATCTGGCCCCCAGTCTCCAAGTTCCCATTAATCCTGTGTAATCACATTCTGTGAAGACTTCACCTACAAAAGGTACATTTTATTTTAATGTAATATTTTGGTGCCACATGTTAAATAATAAAAAATAATTAACTTTCAATGTCCTGTTTTTCTTCTCTCTCTTCATTCTTCTTTATTTTCTTCTTTGTATGAGGAGTCATTCAAGTCATTTTTTCTTCCCTCTCCAATTCCGTCCTCTCTGTTTTGTTCACTCCTCTCCCTTCTCTCTCCCTTACCTCATTTAATTCTGTCTCCTGCTTTGCTAGCTCACTCTCTCTTTCCTGAACATTTCTTATCCTGCAGTCTGTTTTCCTCCCCCTGCGAGACCAGCTAAGCTAGAAAGAACAGAACAAGTCCTGTCATCTTGTCCACCAGTCTTTATCTTCTTCTGATCTTCCCTAGTCTCTTTCTAACACTCACTGCAGCTCCATCTTTTTTTCATTGTTCCTCCCCTTACCTTCAGAGTGTTCTCTCCTCTCCCACACCTCTCTTGTTTGTGTCCTTTGTAGGGCTGGAAGGAGGTATGATACTTTCAGAATTAAAACCCTGGGACACCTCTGTGATAGTGTCTTTAGCATGGTGAAATAGTCATTCAAATGACAAAATTACATCTTATTGTAAAAAGTGGGGTCTGGTGCCATTCTTCCAACTTCTACCTCAATACCATCATGTACATATTTTCTGCACTAGAAGCTTTCTTACAGTAACTTAATGTTCTGAGTAAGTTTATCTTGAAACATTGAAAAAGTGTCACTAATATGCAATCTGAGCAAAAGAACAGCTTTGATAGTGTCTATACCCATTTGGCTTTTCTCTTCACTCCAAGTACTATTCATCACACTGGATATCCTGCCACTGGACTGTTTGCTCTGTGTTTACCAGGAATAAAATCTGCTTGGTATTACAATACATCTTGAACAACTGTTTTGTGATTATATATTAACCAGATACTCTGATTAGTGATGTGAAAAATTGGGAAATTTCAGGTGCCTCAAAAGAAGTTTCTGGACATCCTATGAAAAGCTGGGGTAAAACCAGATGTATGCTTACAGGAGGGAAGGAAGTGAGGGCAGTTCTCTTTCTGCTTCTGTTCCAAGCACATAGTGGTAGTATTTGAGCAGGGTTACAAGCTGAAACAGGCACTATTCTCCATGAGCCCATGCCCAGCTCAGGCAGAGCAAGGAGAGTGTCTAACAATTTCCCCAGCTGGCATGGGGCTGCAAAGCAGATGGTTGGTATCAGCAACTACATAAGTGCAAAGGACGAGTGGCTATTGGGGAAACTGCTGGTCCTTTGTTCAAGGGAAGGAGTGTTCTGGGAGCTACAAGATCACTTAAATGGAGACTCAGGAGGAGTCAAGCAGGGTAAATGCATCCCCAAAGCAACTTCTCTGCTTTTCTCCTATTGTCAGAAGAAACTTCCTGCAGGACCCTCCAGACTTGTAGGATCTAAGCACCTCAGGATTTCTGAAGCATGAATTACTCCTGGTTGGAGAGAGGATATGAAGTGTGTTTCTCCTCCATTTTCTCCTCTTGGCCTGTTGAGAAACATTTGGAATGGCAGCCTGTACACCCTCCCCACAGCAGGCAGTCTCTCTGTGTAGGGAGCCAGCAGGGCAGACCATTAGGAATAGCTATTCTCACCGCTTGCTGGTGCCTTGGTACCATCTGAGAGAAGAGACGTGGTCCAAAAACCGAATCACATGGTTCACAGCATGTTTATTTTGTCAGATAATAATTCTCTAACAGTATAAATCACCTCATTTATCCAGATGCAGCTTTAGGATGCGTACTATGTGTACAATTATGTAATAATTGCTGTACAGGACCTTGATACTTATGTACTAAATGATATATAATGCTTGGATTATGAATAGAGGTGACTATTGAAATTTCCATGGCATTTTGAAGGGCTGTCTGTTTCCTTCAGTAGGAGTCTAATCAAAGACCTTAATTAATTTGAGTTCAGTACTAATAAACAATCCACAGAATGCTGAGTCCTGCAGGGAGAATGCCTCGCTTCACTCAGTGAAGGCTTCTCTGACCAGCTGAGTGAGGCTGACAGGAATTTGAAAGTTTGTGGATACTGTGATGTTGGACATTGAAGGGAGGGCAGAATGTAAAATGAGATTTCCAGAATTCTTGCAGGAACAGGTGCAATCCGCTATGGCCTCTTGAGGAGGGAAATATGACACCCAACATATAGGATAGTAAAACCATCCTGTTTTTCCTGTGTGATTACTTTGCACTCGGATTCTGATTTCCCGGAGACTGAAATTCTGTGAATATATATATGCAGTTTAGTTTAGCTTTTAAATGAAGCTTTAATTTGGGTTGTTAATAGTGCTAAGTATTTCAGAGTTGCAAAGCTCTGATGAGTTGAAGAGAACATGGCTGAGGTTCTAGCTGGTACATGTAACAGTTCAGCTCGGCCCTGAGAAGTTATAGTTGTGTAACCAATGGCCACTAACGAGTAGGAGTTGTTTTTATTTTGTAGGCCTACCTCGATCTCGTAGTCAGACGTGCCTGCCTGAACTGTTAAGGTTTCTGGGACAGAATGTACATGCAAGAAAAAATAAGAATGTTGATATTCTTTGGCAAGCTGCTGAGGTATTTATCATTCTGATTATTGCCACGCTCTGATTGTCTTTTTTTGTACATGTACAGTATATACTCCCCTTTCTTCTTTCAAGTTTATTTTTGTAACCCATATTTCCAAATTTCCCAGTTGTCTTGCAAGTAGATTTTTAAGTGTCCCCTACCTCAAGTCTCTAAGGTCGGAAAGGAAAGTATCCACTTTTAAATCCAATAAATTCTTCACACGGATGTTAGAGGGTGTTTTGGTGGAAGGGTCGGAAGATGTCTTTCTACATGGACTCTTGCACCATTCTCCTCTGGCCTATAGAATAATAGAGACCAGTCTGACAAGCAGATGTCAGAAATCACTAGATTAAAAATGTAAAACACTATCTAAAAGCTCTGTGCAAAATTAAAGACAAATCTTATTATCATCTTGGTGAAATGTCTTTCCAAAATATTTTTTTCGCACAACACCAGTAACTAAAGGTACAGTGGTTCCATCACGCTGCCTCTAATACTAAGACTTTTGACATCAAAGATCTAAAGTGTGAGCTGATGCAAAATGCAATTTGTATTACAAGGGGGCTTGGAGAGAGGGAAAATAAGTGTGTTCTCTTAGCCAGAGTGTTTCCCACAAAGAAGAAATGATGAATTGTATATCCCACTTCTAGATATGCCGGAGACTAAACGGTGTTCGATTTACAAGTTGTAAAAGTGCCAAGGACAGGACAGCCATGTCAGTGACCCTAGAGCAATGTTTGATCCTGCAGCATGAACATGGAATGGCTCCTCAGGTCTTCACCCAGGCACTGGAGTGCATGAGGAGGTAAGAGTTGGACTGCTCACTAGTCACTTATTCCTAATTCAGGATCCATGTAAACTGCAGATGAGTGGTTGTCTCTTTTTGGGAAAGGATCAGTTCCATCAAAAAATAAAGTAAAATAAACCCCACAGGCTATAGCTGGCTGTCAGACCATCTCTCTTTCAATCTTAAATTCCTTGACCTGTGCAAAGTAAAATTGATTATTGCCAAATTTGCACAAGGTGCTCTTTAAGGGGCAAGAAACCATTTGTAACCTTAGTTTTCAACAATGTATTGGAAGTGTTCAGAGAAGCACATAAGAGAGACCTTTCAAACAGACTGTCAGTGCTAAACTACCAGTTGAGCATAGAAGACTAATGCCCACTTGAAAGTCACAATGATTGTGACATTCCCTTGGCTCCCATTATGGTGCTATCTTTTTAATTTAGTTTTTGATCAGGAGGTTTTCTCTGTTCTTTCTTATGTGAAAGGTATGCATCTGCAGGTTGCACTGGTTTGCTATGCTTACTCCTTAGCAGTGAAACAGTTTGCTCACTGGGCAAATTGTCATTATGAGTGTTTCATGATACAGCAACCAAACCCCATCAAAACCTGTCAGTGTTCTGTTGTCATATCAATTTAACAATGTTCTGTATTCTGAAGCAGCAGACATGTTTGCCGAGTTAAATACTAAAAAAAAAAATTTGTTTATTGTTGTTAAATGCTTTGTTTCAAGCACTGCTGGAAAACTCCGTATTTCACATACCAAAAGAAAGGATAAGAAATCCAGTTTTAGTCTCTATTAATGTAGTTCAACAATGCTGTTGAGTCCTGTTTTTGACATTCACTCTTACTGAACGTACTGTACTGTGTGTCTTCTCACCAAATTCTCTAAAGTGTTCAATTCTCTTATCCTTTCTGTATGTTTTTGCTATTTGACCCTTTCTTAATCTTCAATTGCCTACCAGAAAATACTTTACATGATAGCAGCTACAGCCTCTTACTCTGGTAAATTTTGTTTTTTAAATGATCTCACTCCTAGATTTGGTTGGTTGCCTGTAGTTTTTCTTTTTCTCACTTAGTTAATGGCTTTGTGATACTGGACTCATTCATGCTATGTATGAAACCTGTGCATTTAGAGACAAGTTATCCCTTGATGTTAGAAGCTGAGGTATCTTGACACAGCACCTTAAGTAGTAAAAAAGTTACAAAGTACTATATGGCAGAAATTCTGTACACAATAGCAAACAAAAGGCCAATAAAGCCAGACACCTCCAGATCCGAAGTCTGACTGTCATCCAAGGTATTTGGATCTAATCTCCGTCAGCAGTATAATTCCTTTTTAGTGTAGCTAAGTTGGATCTTTTCAGTGGTACTAACCGTCATTAAAGGATAACATGGAGGGAAATTGATCTGTTTTTAAAGTAAAATTTTGCAGTTAGTCTTAGGTCACATTCAAGTGCCAGATTAGTGAAGAACTTTCCTCCTCCATTTCTCTTTTCCTTTGTAGAGTTATTCTCTCTATCAACATTCCACTTTGTCAAATGAAACACATACTATTAGGCATAATCTAGTATGTTCCAAATGCAGAATTTTTTGCTCTTTAGGAGTGTCTGCATGAGCCTGGGATAAGTCTAACTGACCTGGATGCCAGTGGTATTCAGTTTTATATTACATGAGTTGACAAAGAGGTGACTTGCTATGGCCTGATCTTCCCTAGAAAATTGTCAACTTAATTTTGTTGCTCGGAGAAGTGAAAAATCCACATCCATGAGTGGTGTAGTTAAACTGACCTAATCCCCAGTATAGGCAGCGCTAAATCGATGGAAGAATTTTTCTGTCAACCTAGCTACTGCCTCTCGGGGCAGTGGATTACCTAGGCCGACGGGAGAACCCCTCCTGTCAGCGTAGGTAGCGTTTACGCTAAGTGCCACAGTGGCGCAACTGCAGTGGTGCAGCCATGCCGCTGTAGCATTTCAAGTGTAGACAAGCTCTACATCTCCTGTGCTTTCGTTCTTTCTTTTTCTTTTCCCTTTCCCATCCTTCTCTTCATTTTCCGTTCTCTGGTTTTCAACCTTGATGTACGTCTTCCTGTCACTTTCAGTGCTTCTTCTTCCCTCCTTCCTTCTTCTTTACCCTCATGTTGTTTTCTCTCTCTCTCCTTCCCCATATTCTGTTTCTTTTCCTCTCATTCCAAGATCAAAAAGCTTTGCCTTGTCCCTCACCCAACCCATTCAGTCTAATCTCTCTCTCTGACACTGATCACATTTTCCATTCAGTTCTAGCTCTCCGTTCACTGCCTCCCCTACTCCCCAGCATTCTCCCTCCATTTATTTTGCCCCCAATACATATTGATTCCCACCCACTTATCCCAAATATGTTCACCTTTTCGTACCCTAACCTCACATATACACTCCTCCTCAGTCCACCACCATTCTTCACCAGCAGCAGGCCAGGCAGGGGAAAGTTGCTTTGGGCATGTTTCTATGCCTACTCTCTTTCCAAGGGTTGGGCGGAGACAGAGATATTCCTCTGTCCACCTCATTCCTGCTTACCTGAGGGACCTCCAGGAAGTTTCTAGCTGCCAAAGAGAGTTGAGGTTGCTCAGCACCTTGCACAGAGGCACTTGTTACTCACAAGATTAGGCCCCAAAATTGCAGGTGTTTGTGGCTTTGCGCATTGAAAAGGACAGTAGTAAGAACAGAATAGTGATCCAAAATGAAGAGCTGGGCTGAGAAACCTCAGCTAACTTGGACAGGTGTTCTCTGCTGTTAGCCCTCTTTGCTCAAAAACAGTCTGGGCAGTGAGGATCCATTTTGAGACGATTATTCTGAGACCTGGGGATTCCCCCACTGCCCATGTCCGCAGTTGCATAAATCAAACACTGCCCAAATGTGTGTTTTGAAAAGCATTTTGAGAACAAGTAGAATTCATTTTGAAGCACAATATCTGGTCTGTTGCATTGTAACAGACAGCTCAGAGGCTGTTGAATTAGTTCACTGCAACTCACATTGAAGCATGTTTGAAAGGGTCAAATACTACAATGGTTATTCATGTTCAGGTTGCTTTTCTAAGCTCCATTTCTTTGCAGCATGTGGAAGCATGGCAGGGCAGCATGGAATATTGCTTGGCCAATTGAGAGAATGAACATGGAAAACCATTCTTGTTCAACCTACATGTATTTCTTTTCAGTAGACTACAGTATTTATTTTTCTCTTTTTATTCTCTTTCTCTCTCCTTTTATCTGTAATTGTGGTGATTTTTTTGGCATTACTCCACTCTTCCTTTACTCCATGTTTTGATTTTGTTGTGGCTTCTTCCATGTTTTTCATTTCACTTCTTGGTCACCTTGTTTTCCCATCTCTTTTGATACATTTGTTGCATGTCTGCCTTCCTTTCTGTTTTATTTTCCCTTCTCCCAAACTTCTTCCTTTTCACAGCATTGGAACACGGGAGGTAGTCACCCAGAAGAACTTGAGTGGCTTGGTGCCCATCCGAGATTTCGGGCTAGACCCCAGCCTCCTCTACTCTTTTCCTTTACTAGCTCTGAGCCCCAATTTACTGATTGTGTGGCTGTTTCTGAGCGTAGCATACCTGGTGGCCCGATTACGTTGCAAATGAAGACAAGCTTAAAAAAAAACAAAAATAGATAAAAGTGCTTAAATATGTATTGCCACCTGATACCTGCTGGACAAAGGAATGTGTCATAGCAATGTCTGCCAAGAATTATTATTATGCCTTACAATTTTACGTTTATATTGTACTAAACTGTAAATATACATCAAATTATTTTATCAAGAGGAATTGTATTGAAAGTTTAAACCACTGTTATGCTTTCAGTGCTTGTAACATAGTCTGAAGTTGGCTGTTACCTCGTTACTTTAGCTGGCCTGAAGATCAGTTTCTCTTACCAAATATTTCTCTTACATTCAGATCTAAGAGTCTCTCTCATATATACAGTTTTGTGTTACTTGTTTCATGTATTCCAGAGAAAGGAACTCTGTCTGAAAGAATTTGTATCTTTTTGTATAATCTTTAAGTGTATGCTAACCTTGCCTTTCATTTTTATGAGATATGAAGAGAAAAATTTAAAATAAATAGGTGGGGTTTATAACAGATGTAACTAGATAAACAAATCTGACACTTTCTACTTCCATTTCAAAGCATAATCGCTAAATTACAGTAGTAAACAGTTTCCAGAACCCATAGTCTTGTTCCTTTCTCGTTTAAATCTATTTCAATAGCATATACTGTACCCGCTCAAAAAAAAACCCCTTGAATTGCAGTGTACTGCATGCAATATTATTCCATTATGTTTACAGGTATACATTTTTGTAGCCTATTTAAGTGAATGACTCTCAGAAAAGGAGAGTATGTAGTAAAAATAGACTGATAGTGATTCATTGTCCATTTATTCCTCCTTGGGAAAAGATGCTCCATTTTTAAATAATAAAAAAGAGAATTCTGAATCAGGATAATAACTTATAAATTAATTATGTTGACATTTTAATATACCAGACAAGAAAAGAGGTATATTAGTTAGCTCCCTTAGCATGGTTACACTGAACTACAAAGCCAAAGCATTTGGGTTTTGTGCAGTGACAATAGACAAAATATTATTGTTATTTCTATTCTTTAATATTTGCTATGTGCACAGATATTATGGTTATGGGAGCCACATAAGGACCTAGGTAGGTAAATAGATGACAGTGAGTTAATATGTAATTTCTATCATTATTATAATTAGCTCAAATAGGCAAATAGCAGCATTCAGAAAGCCTAGATAGCTGTAACTGTTATATTCATTTTGTTGTTTTTTAGAAGCATTTCTGACCAGTAATAATGCAAGATGAAAAAGCAGCTATGTAATTTTGAGGTTAGAATAGACTCTTAAATTCAGGAAATGTTTAATTTCCTGTTATAAATAAATCAGAAAGTACATGGCTATATTTTCTTGTCTTCACCAAATCAGATCGTACAATACAATGTCTCCTGATTTCCATCCCCTCCCTCATCCCAAATACCCTCTTACCTTTTTTTTTTTTTTAAAGGTGAATCTATTTAAATTTATATTTTATTTTTATAAAAAAAAACTGGAGTGAGTTTGGGAAAGCTTATTGCTGATGAAATTGAAACCATGGCACGCCAGCAATGGAAAATACAAAGCTGATTGGTGGCAGGTGTAAATTACTCTGCCACTGCATCTCAGTCCTGATCTTCACACACTTCTGATTCCAGCCTTATTTGTTCCCTGAACAGCCTGCCTTTTGTGCCAAATTCTGTGTTTTTATTATGTGAATAAGTATCCAGTACGGACAAAGGCCTTGATCCAGCAAAATGCTAAGCACACTAGCCCAATCTAACAAGTATGTGCTTAACTTTGAACATGACTAGCCCCATAGAAGTCAGTGGGAATATTCATGTGCTTAAAATTAAGCATGTTTAAATGCTTTGCTGGACTGGGACCAACATGCTCATCATCTTGCAAGATTGAACTCTAATTTAAGAAGCTGATTAGTCTCACTTTGGGTGAAACCCTAGGCCTGCTTAATTCAATTTCATTTCTTTGTGCCTAGATTTCATCCTTTGTGACCTAGCCTATATTTAAACTCAGGTCTCCAGAGCTGAAAAGCTTAGTGCATGCTGCCAACATGCCTCAACCAGAAGAAATTAATTCTTCACAAAAACTATCACATAATTAAGTTAAGATTCTGGTTCTTCACTAAAGTCTCAGTCTTGCACAGTGCCAAGTGCCTGAACTCCCAATATACTCAGCGGATGCTCAGTTGAGGAAGCTCAGCACTTCATAGGACTACTTGACACCTTGCTCGATCCGAACCCTTGCGAAGGATCTCTAATGAGGAGATGGCTGTTATGTCATATCAATGACAGTGTAATAAACATAAGTGCCATTAGTTGAGATGTATTAAGCAGCACAAGATCTCCATTCTTTGCATTTTAGAACACCTTTTAGTAACTTTGGGTGGTGGCATGAAGGAGCAATACTGTACCTTTATAATTAAGCTGGTTACCTTTGGGCAGGAGGTTTCACATTCATTTAATTAAATGTTGACAGGTACTAGGGTTAAGGTGCGATATATTTTAATTAATTTAAGGCAAACATAACCCCTACATTTAAGGTAAAAATAACAATTATTGTTATGCCTTTGCGGTCACATATCAAAATATATTTTAGATCATATTTAAGATTATATTAAAAGTAGGACTAAAGCTAATAAAATTAAGGAAGTTGGTGTAGTATCTGTTACCAACTCATTCAGTTGTGTCTAGGAATCTCAGTGTGAAATAAGGATTTATGTTCACTATTAGGTCACGTAAGAAAATGTGACTCGTGAATTAATATTTCTGGTCACCATTGTTTCCAGTCAAACAGTAAGCCATGTCCTCAGCTGGTATAAACTGACATAGTTCCATTGAAGTTGATGGTATATAGCAGCTAAAAAATCTGGCACAGAAGATATGTGATAGCACATTATATCTTGTCTTCACATTCACAGGAGGGGAAAAAAGCCCTTGCAGCACCATCACTATGACTCACTTCAGACGTGCAATAACTAGTCATGATGGGATGAATTCTGAACAGTGCTAAACTTACCATTGAATACCCTAACTTTCTGGTTTGTGTCCCATGCTACTGTCCCTTTGTGACATTACCCAGGGTACAATCTGGACTGTCGAACAGCTTAATTCTCTAGCCTAGGGTGTCTTTTATCCTTCTTTGCTGTCAGAACATCCACTCCTGGTCTGCTCACCCAGCTGTCAGTATTCAAAATCACTCCCAGATAAATTACATGAGCACTCTGACCAGTCATTCATGAATTACATATAGAGCAACACCCACAAATTCTTAGTCCCAGCCTTGTTCCTCCAGAAATGTGCATCTTGTACTGCTCAGTAGCCTTCTGTACAAGCTCATAGGAAGTCTCTCATTTCATCAAAGGAAAATGATAATGTACCAGCCTTGTTATCCCAAATGGAGTTTCGCACACACTGTAATCCAAACACACTGGTTAAGATAAAACAATAAGATAAGTTTATTAACTACAGAAAGATAGTTTTTAAGTGATTACAAGTGATGATGCATAAAAGTCAGGATTGGTTACAAAATAATATAAGAGTAAAATGCAAGCTAATGCCTAACTTAACAAGCTAAGTGAACTTAAAAGCAAAAGGTTTTGTCTCACCATACGCTGCACTAAATTTCACAGGCTGGGTCTCCTTTCAGCCTGAGACGCTGCCCCCTTAGTTCAGTTCTTTGAGAATGGTTGATGTTATGAGCAGAGATGAAGGAGGAGAGAGGTAAATGGGAGGCCACAGTCTCTCATTCTTATACCACCCTCTCCTCTTTGAGGATTGCCCCCAGCTGGAGTGCAGGTGACAAGTAGTCTCTTGTGGACATGAGATCTGACTCATCCCTGTGATGGAATGTAAATTTCTTATTCACACCTTCCCATTGCTGAAGAATGGCTGCTTAAGCAGGTGATAGCTCTTTAACACCTGGCTGGGGTGTCAGTGTGTCTTTGTCTCTGAAAAACTTTTTTGGGCCTGCTTTTCTTAACCTTGGAACATGTATAACAATGCTATACAGCCAAATCTTATAACTTCACATACAATGTTGATACACACATTTTACCAGGACAATAATGATCAGCAAACAATAATGTTCAGCAGATTATGAGTTTTCAACTGATTTCACAAGGCATACTTTGTATAAAATGTATCCTAGTCTTGTAAAAGTGGTGAACATAATAATATCGACCATTGCACAATTAAACTTAATGTTTTAATTACAATTAAAAAAAATTGTCCGAGAAAATGAAAGCAAATCCTTTATGGAAGTGTATTTTAATGGCTCCTTTGAAGCAATTCAAGTCCATGACATGAAAATATATTCAAGAAATTTTCACAATATATCTCACTCACTTAATTGGCTGTAACAACTTTTGCAGCATTTTGTACACACACAAAGTAATGGTGTAATGTACATATTGGGATCCATACTATAAAAAATAGTTACTTCACATTTGTAGTAGGCAATCCTCAAACTTTAAATAGAGTGGCTTTAGGCGACAAACTTAAGAATACTAAATGTATTTAAAATAGTCAAGAAATAATAAAATTACAACGAATTTAATTAATCAAAATCAAACAAGCCCAGCAATGAGCATAAGCCAATGTTGGAAGAAGATTTTTAAAGGTAAACAAACCCCAAAGCAACCTTTTAAATTAAGTCACTATGGTTTATCTGGGGTATGTTACATGCTGCTTTACATCTGTCTTTAAAACAGGAAAAATATAGCGTTTCAGCCATAAGATGGTGGTATGTACATTTTGCCATCAAGCTAGAGCATTAAATCATTATCATTATCCATTTTTACCTTCTGTAGTAGAGAGAGAAGAAAACATTCTCATGAGAATCTAAGTTAACTTGTAACCTACATTTTTTAAAAAGTGCTTCCTCTTTGTAAGTCTGTTTTTGGAAAACAAGGATTTTACATACAATGAAAGGGACTTTGCAGTAGATTGCAGAACCATTATCTAGAAGTCTTATAGCTGGGGTAGCTTTCATTATAGCAGAGAGCCTCCTCATGGTATGGAGCAACTGCATAGCAACATTAGGTTTGCAATCTAAACTCTGAACAGTTTTGTGTGATGACAGTACATGGAGCCAATCTTTTTTTGCATCCATACATGCTGTTTTAGGATTTAGATTCTGCTAGTACAGTTTGTTAATTTTCAAATTAATTTATGCATGCAAAGTTATCTGAAAAGTCATTATTTTTGTATTTACTCTTTAAGTAAGCTTTGATAATACTGGCATACAGGGGACAATAAAATTATTTAAAAAATTCTGTTCAGAGATCAGCAGTTTTTCTTTTTCAACTTAATTTACTAACAAATTAGCAGAACTGTATTTCAGCAGGTTTTTTTTTATTCCATGTGCAATGAAATGGCATTTAAACTTCACAGTAAAAGTACCCTGAAATACATGAAACCATCTCAAATATAAAAGGTTTGTTCCATTAGATACACTGCTGCTTTTTAGAAATGCAAAACTAGCAATTAAACATAGCATGTGTCCATTCTATGTGCTTCTTAATAGCATTGTTTAATGATCCACCATTTTTAATATTTGCAATGGCAAATGATCCAAACATGCATTGAAACTAATCAACTTTTTTTAATGCTATGAAATAACCAGTTCATTTCATCTTAGTTTAAGTCTTTTATTTATTTATTTTCCTTTTTACTGCTGTCATTTTTTTTGTGCTTGTTTTTTTCCCCAGTGAGGGTTGTCGAAGAGAAAATACAATGAAGAATGTTGGATGTCGCAAGTATGCATTTAATTCCCTGCAACTGAAGGCTTTCCCAAAGCATTACAGGCCTCCAGAAGGAACTTATGGAAAAGTTGAAACATAAGCATATTGCGTCCTGTAATTAGCTGTTCCATTAAAACATGGGGATACACTCTAGTTTAATATATGAATTTGTCATCAAGACCAGATAACCAATTTTTGTACATTTCACTAGGTTATATTGAGCATGTTACTTTATTGAATTGGAATCTGTGAAGATTATTCTGACACCTTAGTTTGAGATTAGCTTGATGACTCTCTGCCCATTTAAATAGCCTTCAGTGTATGTAAAATGCACAAATACTGGAGCACTGAATAATTACCTAAATGGAAATAGCTTGGTACCTCCAGGATGGTCAAGGACTTTATGAATGGCGTTTAGGCAGGTGTTTCACATAACATCTTTTTATACTGAGTTGACTTGAGATTAAGCTTTTCATAATACTTTTTAAAACTGAGAATAAAACCTCAATGTTGTAAATAGTAAATTAATTGGACCCTGGGCAGTCTGATGAGTGTAGAATGAATTGTTACAATCAAGCAACAACGGTTTAATTTTTAAAAAAGAAT